ATAATTAATAGACCTTTCAGCTCTGAAGCCACTGATTCAGGATTGATTCTGTATATAAATAACTGCAAATTGTGATAGTAGTCAGACTTTGTAAGCAGAAGAAAATCACAGTGGTATATTTTAAATCAATTTTTGAATTGGTGCAAACACTGTGTAGATGCTCTCTTCCGTTTAAGTGGCTGATTTAGGTTTAAATTAAACCTGCTCCTAATCAACTTAAATTGAAAAAACCCTCTATTCTTAAACAAAATAAGTGTGTCCATATGGAGGTTTGCAACAGTTTAAAGAAATCCATTTCCGTTCACACCTTAAGTTAAACTGGTTCAATATTCTTATGTCAGTAAGCCCACAGGTGTGTATTTAGTTTTCATGGAGGATGCATAGAGAAGTGGGGGAATGAAGACAAAGTTAAGGATATTTGGGATAACTTTTTTCTAAAAATTCAAATAAAAATCTAGTGTTGGATTATAAATATCTTCTCTCTTTTGTAGATGTGATACAACAGAGAAATTGAGAAATTCCTTGGATTATTTGAGATCCTTATTAAATGAGCCTACAAATTTTAAGCTTATTTATAGATACGCATTTGATTTTGCACGGGTGAGTAGTCCAGGACTCATATGACTTTTATTTTTATTTCTATGATCTCACCTTCACATGCAACAGCTAAAAGTCTTGACTAGTTGTTCTTAGGATGCCAACTAAGATCGCTTCCAAAACATACAAATGTACTCTCTTTACAGTTGACTGTTTTCAGCTACTATGTCTGCCAAATACCAACACGGTAGAGGGTAAAAAATGGGGGGATGGGCAGTACAGTTACTATTGTTCATTTTGGATGCAGTTAATCCCAGGTACAATCCCCTGCTTCACCAAAGACTTCTCGTATGACTTGGAGAAGTCATTTGGACCATAATTCTGTGTCAGTTAAAGTAAATGGCAGTTTCCATTGATTCCAGTCACTCAGGATCAGAGTCTTGGTCTCTCTGCCTTAGTTCCTCCATCTATAAAATAGGAATGGTACAGTAGAACCCCATATAACTGAACCTCCATTATCTGAGTTTTCATATTAATGTAACCACTAGCTGCTTGAGGCTGATATTCTTCCGTTTATCTGCATTTTTAGTTATCTGGCTGCAGTCCCAATTAGACTGGCTAATTGGGGCTCCACAGTACTTCCCTACCTCACAGAGATTTTTGTGGGAATAAATCCTTTAAAGAATGCGAGACACTTAGATATAATAGTAATGAGTACCTAAGATATATACATATGGTTGTCACTTATTGATTTGCACGCTAGTCCTTAAAAACTTGCACACTTATCTGAGATAATGCCTTAAAGGATTAATGAGTCTTTAACTGTCTCTTTTAACTAAAATAGCTGTCAACTGGTATTCTAAATAAATCTGACAAAATACTTACATTTCAAAATAAATTAGTAATTGCTGTTTCTGAACCTATGACTGTCTTGCAGAAAAGTCACACGTTTGGACACTGAGCAATAATGGAACCCAAAATCAGTTATTTAAACTGTTAAAGTACACTGAAAGCTGCTCTACGATCAGGGTGAGGGGAGGTGGTACAGTTAAAACTATTCTTCAAATGTACAAAGTCTAACAGTAACTCACAAGAATATCAGTGTCCCCTGTGATACTCTTTGTATGATTGACACAAGGCTTAGGAATGCCAGTAATTTTTCTTTTTTAATGTTTTCCATATGCTTATAATTGTGGCACTCTTCAATTGCTCTATTCAACGAAATGGGCTAGAGCTTTCCTTTTAACACATTAGAAATGAGGGGAAGGTGCAGTGTCATCACAATGAGATTTAAAAACAAAATGATGCCAAGTCCTTTACAGTACATGAAGGAGGGGAGAGAATGAGAAAATAGCTTCCACTGTAAAAAACTTCCTTCACTGGTGTTCTGACTGAGCCACATATTGATCTTTGTCAAGATGAGCATTAGATTTTTATTTTCTTTCAAAACCATTCACAAACCACACAACCCTACAATGTGATGTGGGAAAAGATGGCTGTGAGGTAAATACTGGTTCGTAACTTTTTCAGACAATTATAAGTAGTGTTCTCAGTACTTGTTCGACAGGCATCCTGATCTGATTTGACTTTTAATACAAAATCTGTACTGCTAATACTGTGGTGGATATCAGGGCTCATAATTGATTAAATGCTATTCCTACTCAAAAACATGAATAAAATAACGTGGACCTCCTCATAGTCACCAGGTATAGAACTGGGTGGGATTTTTTTTTCACAAAATGCCATTTTTATCAAAATATGCTGATTTGTCAAAACCAAAACTTTGTATAAATGTGTCTGTGTTGATTCATTGGGCCAAAAAAAGACAGCGTGTTTACCATCCAGTTGATGAAGGGTCAAGTCCCTGCTTTGTCTGAATAGAGCAGGAACTTGAATATGGATTTCCTGCATTGAAGTATGGGCCCTAACCATCAGATTGTTGGCTGCTGTGTCTGAATAGTTGTGAAAATAGTCTGTTTCTTTTCTATGCAAAATGAAATCTCAGGTTTTCACCTGAGAATGGAATTCTTGTTTTCTAACCTACCCTAACCAGGAATGAGATTGATCATACATATATTGTAAGGAAATTTAGATCAACTCTTTGTGATGTTAGAGCATACGTTGATTACTTCAGATGTAAGCTCCCCTGTTTGTGTGGCAAGACTGAAGATCAGACTCAAGAAAAACAAAAACTATCCAAGTGCCAAAAATTCACAGCAAAAAGCTAATAGCCCAGGCATTACAAAAGCAATTTCAGATTGAACTGAAGAACACATTTTAAGTGGTACAAAACTTAGGTCCATCACAGTAGTTCAATACTGACATGTGATGGTACTGCATGACGGTTTCATATATGCTGCAAAAACTATAGCTGGTTCATAGACAAGCAAGGCAAGGAAACAAACCAAAGCAAATACAGTAGACCCTCAAAGTTATAAATGAAGGTTGTTTATTACTCTGAAATGTTTACACTGTGAACAAAATGTTATTTTTCTTTCAAAAGTTTACACCTGAACACTGACTTACAGGAGCATTAAATCTACTATACAGAAGCAAAATGCTGAATTTAAATGAAACAAGCACAAAGCCAATTTCCTTAACTAATCAATTTTTTTTAACTTTTTTTTTGTATTTGCTTTTTCGGGGGAGGGGAAGGTGCCTGATTGCTTGTTCCTGTTCTAAATGACGTGTATTGTGACCATTCAGATTGTATTTCTTATATTATTACCTTTGAGATTTTACTGTATATCTATTCCTTCAAAACATCTCTAGAAAAAGTAGCAGCAAAATATTTGTATAAAACAAAGTAGTGAAAAGCAGCATGAGAATAAATGAGGAATATCCTGTGACTAGTATGATAATGTTATGTGGATAATATTGCCAAAGAAACTCAAGTGGCTGCTGAACGAGGAAATATTAAAACACTTTGCCAGTCAGACCCTTGTTAAGTTGATAAATGTCACTATCCAAAGGGCTTGTTAAGAATATACAAGAAATGAGAGTAATTGGCTAAACACTTTAAAGAGGTGAACACGTGAACACCACAAGAAATTGACTTTAATAAAGAAATTAAGCATCCAGTGTTGCACCTCTTGCAGTGACTCAAGAATGTAAATACCAACTTCAAGACAAACTGTTGGATTGCAGGGCACAGACCACAAATTAGTTGTGAGTTCTATACTTAGATTTCACCAACTAGTTGTCAAGTGAACTCAGATACTAACAGCCTTAATATAGAGTTACAGACAGTCCCTTTAGATACTTTGATCTAGCTTAACATCAAGGGGAGCATGCTTTTGTGATAATGTTCACTTACAGTAGAAATGGGGAACCTTTGGCCCATGGCCCAGATCCAGCTCATGGGCTCCCTCTGGCAGGGAGGAGGAAGCGGCTCTGTGTGCTGCTGTTCCCTGCTCCCCCAGAATCATGGCCAATGGAAGTAGCAGGGGGTTGTGCCTTCAAGTGCAAGGCAGCATGGAGCCACCTGTGTTCCCCTGGAAATTGCACCAGGTAAGCGCCTCAACCCCCTGCCCTCTCCTTATCCCACTTCCAACCCAGACACTGCATTGCCATGCTCAGCCTGCTCCCCAGTAGGCCTGTCCTACATACTGAACCCATCATTTTTGGCACCACCCTAGAGTCTAGAGGGGGACCCTAAAATCTACTAGCCCCTGGTATCCAGAAAAGAGAATCCGTCTCTAGCAGTAAGCCCTGAGTTTGTGCCCCTCCCACCCATGGGGCTGGAGTGTAAGGTGTCTCTTTTTTTTCTTCTTAGTTGGAGGCAAGGTCAAAGAGAGGTGAGGTTTTGTTTTGTTTCTCACTTTGGGTGTGTGTGTGGTCCCCCAACTGATTTTTCTGTGGATCAGTGTCCTTAACCCCCCCAAAATCCTCATCTCTGCCTTTCAGCAAGAATCACAGCAATATTCAGGTTACTCCCAGTCCCAATGGACCAGGCACTTTCACCATGTCAGTTGCACTTGAGGTATCACACCAAAGACAGTGCTTGTAACCAATCCTATAGCGCTATAAAATGTATTAAATAGGGAAAGGAGTGTTATTTACAAGTTAAAGCAGGTAAAACATATATACATGAATGAGTTAGTCTAAAGTTTCAAAAGATAATAAAAGTTTCTAAAATGAGCAAGCTCTATATGTCTTAAGGCTAACCCAGGCTCAGCAGCTGAGTATTTCTTATTTATGCCGGGAAACACTTTGCCACCCCAGAGACCATGCAGCGTAGGGATATTCAGTTACTACTACTTCGAAGTTTTATTCTCTTCTCCTGTCTTCTAAGCTGCAAATTTAGTTGATAGGTGTCCATGTGTATTACTCCTCTTCACAGGGAAGACAGCAGGACAACTTGTGTCATCTTGTTGTGATATTTAGGGAAAATCCAGTTGCAGTGTCCCACAATAGGGTATTGAGGAAACTTTCCTTTTGGGAAGGTTGCAACATCAAGAGAAGATCAGCTCTTCGTGCTAATTAACATGTGTCTCTTGTCTGGCAATTTACATGGTCGCAGGAGCTCACAATGCAGTTGCTCAAATATTGCCTTATAGCATAGGTTACAGATGTTTTAAGTGAGATTAATACATGCAGCAACTCATAAGCATCCAGTAAAATCTAAACATTAAATATGTCCTTTTAATTCCAATTCCTGTTTTAATAACACTAACAAAAACAGATGAACCAGATATGAGCTTGTGCCTGGTTTGTAAGTGGCACATCTTACCACATAAAGTGAAAGACAGAAATGTAAAATCTGAAGAAGCTACAGGGGAAGACCAAGTCTTCAGAGAATTATTGAAAACTTGTGATAATGGCCATTGAGAAAATTATCTGACTTGTCAGCATTATAATCAAAATATCAGAGAGGTCACTGAAGCAACTGGGAAAGTGTTAACCTTGTTTGTCACTGACAGAAGCGTTTCTGAAATATCTTAAACTGTAAAAAGGAGGTGGTTGAAGCAAAGCTAAGGGAAGAGCAGGCTGAATTTCCACCCAGATGATCATGTGACAACCAGATTTTCACTTTAAGTGGCTTCTGCTTTCTAGAAAGTTTTGAAATTGTACCCCAAGAGTGGCTCCTTCATCTATAGTAGAGATCCTGGAACTACAGTTAGTATGAAAAGTAACTTTTTTCTATAGCCTGGTAAATAACTATAAAGGAATATAGTTTTCATTAGGAAATTATACTTCCTTGTATGCTATAATAATATAGTACGAGATATACAGGTTGCTTAGAATTTAACAGTTTTTATGATTTGCTAAGAGTGAATAGTGATGTAATATTGGTGGAAATAAGGCAACATTTTAACCTTTTCTTTTCTTTCAACAGGAAAAGGACCAACGCAGCCTAGATATAAATACTGCCAAGTGTATGTTAGGACTTTTATTGGGAAAAACATGGCCTCTTTTTCCGGTATTCCACCAGTTTCTAGAGGTACACAACCAAGTTGTAGTTTGAAACAGATTGGTGTTTTACTTCCTTGTCAGAGGATGTGGTGAAGGCTAGGACTTTTAACAGGGTTCAAAAAAGAGCTAGATTGATTCATGAAGGTTAAGTCCATCAGTGGCTACTAGCCTGAATGGGTAGGAGTGGTGTCTCGAGCCTCCATTTGTCTGGAAATGGGTGACAAGGGAGGGATCGTGAGGATTACCTGTTGGGTTCCCTCCCTCTGGGGCATCAGGTATTGGCCACTGTCAGCAGACAGGATACTGGGCTAGATGGACCATTTCTCTGACCCAGTATGGCCGTTCTTATGTTCTCTGAAATATTTATATTTTAGTACTAGTAAACCACTAAAATATGACTCAGCATTTATTTTCTAAGTTGTCATTTTGTAAATTCTTAATACTTAAAAAAATGCAGTGTCCAAGCCCTAAAATTACACTTTCCATTGGCTTAGATCATCAGTCATTATCCTTTATTGCATTTGAGTTCTATTAAAAACCTGAACATTTGAAGTGATTTTCTTTCACGTTGTAAACTAGTTTGTTTTAGTGACTTACTCTTCTTATCTTAAGCAGCAATCAAAATACAAAGTGATTAACAAGGACCAGTGGTGTAATGTGCTAGAATTCAGCAGAACAATTAACCTTGACCTCAGTAATTATGATGAAGATGGAGCATGTAAGTATTTCTTCAATTTTTCTCCATGTACCCCTACTCCTCCAGTTCCTCTTCCAAGATTTATATAAAAGTATAATTATTTAATATCTCTCTACAGGGCCAGTGTTATTGGATGAATTTGTGGAGTGGTATAAAGGGAAACAGATGTCATAGGAGTTTAACTATGCACAGCCACTCAAGAGTCACTGTTACTACAGTTATGTCAACCATTAGCCATAAACTGCTGTTTGTATCAAAACGCATGCTGCTTTTCTTGCACTGTATCCCTTTTGCAGGGAACTTTTGTTGTTTGCTATTTAACAGGCCAGCTATGCTTGCTGTGTAGCATTGTTCTCTTTGAAGGCTGCTTTGCATTTTGTATTTACACTACAAATTGGTGAGCTTGCCAGCATCCTCACTGTGATTATGTGTATATTGCTGTCTAAATTTTGTATATGTGTATAAAAAGCTTCACCTAGGGATTATTTCTGGAGAAATGTATTGTAAAAATAATTGTGGCATATTTCTAGTCACTTTCAATGAACATGTAACTCATACTTCTTGTTTTTATTTGGTCTCAAATGTAGCATTTCAGAAAACAAAATTAAGACTGTTTGAACATAGATATCATGAACTGTTGGCAGTTCTAATCTTACTGTTTAAGATGCCAATTTTTGGGACAAGGAGAGGTGCATTATGTTTTCTTCACAGGCATATGCCAAACATCACTTTTATTTAGTAAGAAGTATTGATGTATTTTTATTATTAATATTATTAAAATTGTAATAGTTGTACATGCCACAGATGATTTCCACTTGGAGAAGAAAGTACTGGCTTTTTAATGTCAAAACTGCAATCGTTTGAATATAGGTACAAGTGAACAAATTAAAGTACCTTTTAAAAATTGGGTTTAGACTTTTGTAAATTGTCTTTGGCATATTCCTTTCATTTTTGGTTTACCAAGACTGTTTGAATTATGTTGCTGCAAAGTGAATTTTAAATTTTGGATCTATAGCTAGTTCTTAGCTAGCGAATTAAGGTTCATTATTCCCAGCCAACGGTAAAAACTATTTCTGGTTTTTGTTTGTAACATTAGTGAGTCTTTCCCATGCTATAATTTTGTGTCTCTAAGTAAGTAAAAATTATATTGAATAGTGAAAGCTTAAGTATTTTCATGCTGGGGATTGGATTTTCCAGGCAAAATGTCCATTGCAGGCAATGGGCACATTTAACACCAGCGCTAAGGAGTTAAATATGCAGTACCTTTAGTGAGGGGCCACTTCATTTCATTAATTTGATTATTTGTATAGGAAAGTTTTAGCCATTTATTTAAATGATTGACTGGGATGTGTTTTTAAGGTTTTTTTTTATTTTATTTTATTTTGTCATGTATTCTTTGACTACTGTTTCATAATACATCAGTATTAATTTTTTTTTTAAATAGATTTTCATAGTTTCTGTTGCTATTAAACTTGTACTTTGGTCCCTAAGTATTTGTGATAATGCCCCCAAAATAGTATACTTTAACAAAGTCACCACTGAATATTTTGGAATAAAGCAGTAACTTTTTGCTGCAAAATATTTTTAAGTATATTAGCAGTTTTGAAACTATTATAGATAGGGATCCAAAAAACCTCTTCCATTGAATGTGAAATTTTCAGGTGTACTGAAGATCCCTTTCCGCTCACCACTGAAGATCCCTTTCCGCTCACCACTGAAGTCAGTGGTAAAACTCCTGTTTTTATTTGGTTTTGTTAACGTCACTGTCCTGGCCTACACTAAAGGGGAAGATCAACTTTAGATATACAACTCTAGCTACATTAATTATGTAGCTGGAGTTGATGCATCTTAATCCGGTTTTCACACCGTCCACACAGCAGGAGGTCAATGGGAGCAAATGCTCTCATCAGCTCCCTTACTCCTAATGAGGAACAGGACTACCAGCACCGATGGGGAAGCCCCCTCAGTTAGAATGAGTGAGTCTTCACTAGACCAACTTATTCAAACTCTGGAAGATCGACTACAGCAGCATCAATCTTCTGCTTAGTGTAAACATGGTCACTGTGTGAAGAATTAAGCCAGATGGACCAAAGCATGCTGTTTTTGCTGCTGTGAACCAGAGTCACTGTTCCTTTGCTATTAGTGATCATTTTTGTATTTAAACTTGTTTTTCCCCTAATTCAACATCTAAGACAAAAATTATGTATGTATATCCACAGGGCATGATATACACACAGTATAAAATCATGTTAAGATAAAATGTGTAGACTGCCTTCCCTTACCATGTTTTGTGATGTTATTAAAAAAAGTCAGACACAAAGCATACATAATTGTTGCCTGTTTGTATGCTGTTATAATATGATTTACATCTTTGATGCCAGTTTGCACAAGTCAGTAATTAAATATGTGGTATTTAATGTTTACAATAAGTCTCTTATTAAAACACATTTTAATAAGACTTCTAATGTAAATGTGTATATTACAGTGAGTATAGCCATAGGGAAATATCTGTGGAGCTATTGGGTTTAGTTCTTTTAAAAAATAAACTTGGAAGCAATATAACACATAAAATTAGGCTAAATAGTGGTTGCTAAAAAACTAGGTAAAATACTATGTGTTCTTACATGTTAGGCTAGCTACAATTCCAGGCAAGTAGCACAGTTAAAACACAACATGGGTTGCATAATGAGTTTTATATGTCATGAATAATCTGGCTTCCAATAATGGAGGCAGAAGCCAAAGACTTATAATCATTATTATAGATACAACTGTCATAATCAGGGTCAACAGAAATCTGTTCAGATCACCCAGCTGTTTATGCAAATTTTACTGTTTAATGGAATCTAAAATTTAATTATCCCTCTACCACACTTTTTTTACAATTACTTGTGCTAGGTAAAATGTTATATTACTCTCATTTGCTTTGCATACCGCTGATGCAGAATAGGGTCCAAAGAACAGGTTTGAATATGAAATACATTATTTTTCGTCTGATTCCAGTTGCCTATTTGAGGCTCCAGTGAGTTTCTAATAGGTATCCTTGTAAATCAAATAGCTAACATAGCTGTAGATAATTTTCACGTTTGTTGGCATTTACAGTGTAGATGACACAAAAATAGTCGTAAGACTGAACTAAGTCTATTATCCATGTTGTCTAGTTAGCATACGGATATAAACTGAGAACCTCATTCTTCATGGCTTTCAGCGATGAATCTCAAAAGCCCTGCCTTTTTTTAAAAAGTAGTGAGAACTCTCAAAGCAGTTCTTTTTGCTTTTTTGCTGTTCAGCTTTTTTTTAATATAATGAAATGACACTTCAGCTTATTCCTTGCTCTGCGAAAGATGCACAAAATTTGCCAGCTTCTTCACCTTGAAGCTAAGTGTGAGAGACAGGTCATTGTGGCAAAGTGTTGTAAGTTCAATACATGACTTTCTGATGTAAAATAAGTGTGTAGTTCAGGTTGAATGTTTTATGTGTTCAATTTGGTATTAAAGAGAAGCGAGGCAGTGAGTTTGTTAGTGAGGAAATTAGCATGAAGATATTATAGTGCTTAGCATCTTATATTATTTAAGATTAAGTGATTGGCTTTGTTAGAATTCCTTAATAGATTTAAGGTAATATTAATTTCAGGAAAAATTAACAATATCATACTTACATAGATGATCCTTTCTGTTGCCAAATGGACTAGAACAATCTATAATACTAACCGATGGGAACTTGCTGTTTAATCCGTGGGTGGGCAATAAGTGGCCTCTGGGCCAGAAGCAGTTTCCCAGGTTTAGCTCCTGGTGGGCTACCAGACGCTTTATTTATCTGCATCCACTGGTGTGGCTGGTCACAGCTCCCATTGGCTGCAGGTCACTCTTCCTGGGAAATGGGAACTGGTATGGACCACTTCCTGAAGCTCCCATTAGCCAGGAATGGCAGTCCGTGGCTAACAAGGGATGTAAATGGCTGTACCTGTGGTTGTGCAGGTAAATTAAGTGTCTGGCAGCCCACCTGGGGCTAATCCTGGTAATTTGCATCCAGCCTAGAGGCCACTTATGGCCCACCCCTGATTTAATCCTGTGTATTACTTTAATTCCCTAGTCTAGATCAACCTCCCCCTTTCTTGAAACAAGTCTGTTCAGGAAAAAGTGGTAGCTCCAATTGTTAGTCTGAACAACCCATTTTAATTTTTTTAAACTACAATGCAAATTTGGAATGAATGTATGTAGTGTACTTTCCCCTTTAATCATTAAGTTTTGGACTTCTTTGATAGAGAACTGTAGTTTCCTGTTCCATCACAAACTCATTTTTCATCACATATGTGTCTAGCAGAGTCAGTTAAGTGACACCTGGCATGGGGCTATTGACTTTGTTCTGCGGACCTGTTTTTGGAGGGGTGGAAGTGTACCTTAATTTTGCTAGGATTTTTCCAGATTTCTGTTGGCCCTTGGTCACAAGCCTAACATTGTTAAATGGTCTTGAAATTTAAATAGCTTTAAAAGTTAGCTTGTGCCCCAATTTTATTACAACTGCTAAAATACCTCTTATAAGCCTTATACTTTATCCTTTCATATTGTTGCATAAGTGTATACAATCCATCCACCAATTAAACTGTAAGTTGTCTGTAAATGAGACCAAAATGAGGGTTGATTTTTGTGTTATCACAGAATAGTTTCTACTGACATTGCTGTTCCTGTAACAGCAGGTAACCTATAACTGTGAATGTTTTTATGTCTTAGGTATTTGCATCTTATGAGGTGTGCTATAGTTCTGTGACTCACAACCTGACTGAAAAACTGTTATGCCACCTTACTTGAGTTCAGCCAATTAGTTTTTAGATTTTGCTGGAGTTAATGTAAAATGATATCCCACAAATAAACTGTATTTGTGTTGGTTTCAGAAACTGACTTCAGATTTTTCTGTGGCTCATGTTACCAATATTCACTCATCTGAACTTGCCACATAAAATGTTGGTCTAGAACTGCTACTTAACTTCATCTTAGCGGAGTCTAATTTCTGTTTACAACACCAATTTAAGATGTGTTTATGTAATTCAGAGTTTTTTCTCTTCTGATTCATTAAATTGGGTTAAACTTCAGTTCTTCTTTGAGTACTTGCTTATGTCTATTCCACTTAGGTATGTGTGCGCCATATGCATGAGTTCCAGAAGCTTTTTACCCTTAGCAGTATTTGTTGGGCCAGCCAGGGAGCTCCCTGGAGTGGTGCTGCTGGCCCTCTACCCCCTTAGTTCCTTCTTACAGCCCCTGATGGTTGTTGGAATGCTTTGCTTGCTTTATGCAGGTGTGCCCTTAGCACCCTTATCTCTATAGATAGTTCTGTAGTTCTTATAGTTAGTGTTATCCTAATTGATAGTTCATTAAAGTACTTAGCAGATACTTTCGTTCTCTTTCCTCCCCATCCCCAGGAGAATGGTGGGGCCTCAAGGCTCTGTGTACCACAGGTGCAGGTCGAGCCCCACATGGGCCAGTAGTCCCAAAGTGCATGACCTCTCGGGGAAGAGGTCCCTTGCCCATAGATCCTGGACACCTTTGCTATGGCCTGAGAATTGATTGAACTGACCTCTCCAGGACCGGCCACCTGGTGCAGAGCTGTATGAAGGCTATGAACAGCATGGCTTCAGAGTGGGGTCGATCCCACTGGAGGGGGTGGCACTGGTCCCGTGAGCATGGGCCTGGCAGAGCAACACCATTCCAGCATCGATGGCTCCTCCAGCACCAGTACCAGCACAGTCCATGGCACCAGCAACACTGGCACCCCCAGCACGGTCACTGTTGCATCAGGGCAAACCAGCGGCCATGGTGTACCATAGCCAGCACTGGGAACAAGAGGCACCAATGGCACCAACATGGTCTGCGTCTTCTGAGCCAGACATGGAGTCCTTCATGTCAAGGGCCTTTTCAAGGTCTGGTC